AGTGGTGCTATCTCAGTTTACTGCCACCTCCGCCTCCCAGATGCAAGCAGTTCTCCTGCCTCAGCCTCCCGAGTAGCTAGGATTGCAGGTGCCCACCACAACGCCGAGCTAATTTTTGTATTTTTAGTAGAGACGGGGTTTCACCATGTTGACCAGGCTGGTCTTGAACTCCTGACCTTAAGTAATCCGCCTACCTTGGCCTCCCAAAGTGCTGGGATTACAGGTGTGAGCCACCGCTCCCAGCCCTTCATTTCAATGTCTGTGTTGCTTTAAAAATTTGCAACAAACAACGTATCATTTTTAATCTATAAAAGATAACATTTCTGGAATTTCACTGTCAGAAACTGAAAACTTGCGGTAATGTACATTACCCAGGAGATGTTCCTTGAACAAACTATGTTATTCAGAGGAGGAACTGGTGGTAATTAAATCTGTGCAGGAAAGAATCAATGAAGTCTTATGTCTGGCTGAACATACAGGTAGGCAGAAAAATAAGGAGAAAACATCCAAACCAGTTATTTGTAAAACTTTGACACAGGGAGATCAATCATTTATAGAATAATAGATTCAAAGCTTTTTAAGTTCTATATACGACAAGAAATGGTTGTGATTGGGGACAATTATAAAAACATAAACCTAAGCACTGGGAATTATAATTGACATGTGTTCATGTTACTGTAACAGGATACATATCTTGTGGTGTAAACTTGCTTGTGTTAGTAGCAACATAAAGTTGGATCTTCTCCAAAAGCTTTCCAAGGGAGTACCAGAAGTTACAAGCATGTTAATAAGAAGATGAATTAGTGTCCATTTCAGGTTCAAATGAGAAGTCTTTGAGTCTGATTTGGCAAGAATTATTTTTAATAACTAAACATTAAAACATTACTATAGTAATAAATTAAACATGAAAAATATAAAAGCACAAATAAAATGAAAAATATCAATAACAATCATAACTAATCACTAGTAATGTTCAGATTTATTACTTTTTTCCCATCTACATATAAATTCTATGAAAATGAAATGATATGTATTTTTATTACAGTATAATTTTTTTCATTTGACAAGCACTCATGAACTTTTTCCTATGTCAATATATGTTTTATCTATTAATATAAGCATTATTCTTAATGGGTCCACTGTATTCTATCATAAAACTTTATCATAATTTACTTAACTAATTCTCTATTGTTAAATATTTCAGTTGATGGCAATTTTTTCTTTATAAACAATACTTAAAAATATCCCATAACAATAAATACTTTTGTAACTAAGTTTTTGCACATATATTCAAATATTTTCTTATGGTAAATCATTCAAAGTAGACTTGCTGGGTTTAAGATAATGCCTCTAAGACTTTTAATACCATACATTGATTGCCAAATTGCCTTCTGGACAGGTTGCTCCAGCAGTATACTTTATAATCTTTTTTGACAATATTAGGCTTTAGAAATTTTAAATCAAAGTAATTTTTAAAATGAAAATCCAAACCTTGTTATGATTATTCTTCTTCAAAATCATTTTGTAACTATCAATTTATTGGTTTGCTAATTCAGTCATTCTACAAGTACTGAGTGTACCAAGTGCCAAATATGCAGCTAGAAGACACTGAGAATACACAGGTGAGGAAGGCCCAGCTCTTGCCCTTGAGGATTGTATAGTTTACTGGGCAAATGGGATATGTAAATAAATAATCCCAGAAGATGTTATAGCGGCCAGTGTGCTGGCAGGCATCATAAGAGAGTCATATGTGAGCTGTAAGGACAGCAGGAGTTTTCCAGGCAGAGTAGAGGAAGTAGGGAAACCCATGCTTGCTAAGCAAACAGCATGTCCTGAACCCTAGAATGCAAGCAATTTGGTAGGACGGGCCATGTATTATGGGCAAACTGGTGGGGAGTGGGGTGGTAGAGTAAGATCTTGTATCTCATGCTGGGGGCATTTCCCCATACCAGTAAGCTTTGGGGAGCTATTAAAGGATTCTATGTAGAGGGTGGCATGCTCAACTTTGTATTTTAGAAATCTGTACTTAGAAATATAAGAAGTGATCACAGGGCATTCTGAGGGTGAGTATACTAACCTAAGGGGACCCCACCTGGCACCAAGCAGGCTGGTAACCCAACCTGGCAACACCAGCATCAGTAGCTTATCCTTTGTTGATATTGTCTAATAGATCAAATATGAAACTGAAAGATAACCGAAGTCTTCTGTCCCCTAGGGTACTTGATCACCAATTCATAGCATTATACATCTAGAAGTCCCCTTAAACTTTCCCTAGTCCTAAACTCTCATTTTTACAGGTGAAGACACCTGTAAGCAATTTGCCCAAGGTCACACAGATAATGCTAACTCACCTTTACTGTGAATGTGCTTACAAAATTTTATTTTATAGTATGATGTCTCTAAATTAAAAAGTTTTCATATGATGGTAGACTGGATAAAGAAAATGTGGTACATACATACCATGGAATACTGTGCAGCCAGAAAAAGGAATGAGATCATGTCCTTTGCAGGGACATGGATGGAGCTGGAAGCTGTTATCCTCAGCAAACTAATACAGGAACAGAAAACCAAACACCACATGTTCTCACTTATAAGTGGGAGCTGTATGGACACTTGGAGGGGAACAATGCACACTGAGGCCTGTCGGGGGCTGATTTCCTTAAGGAAATCTTATATTTGATTTCCTTAAGATTTCCTTAAGTAAATCTTATATTTGGCAAACCATAGCATTTTACCATTTGGAAATGAGGTTGCTTCTAATTAACCACACATTTACCTATAGGTCTTTCTGTTTTCTCCCACTCCCATATTAAAGCATTTTCTGTTTCCTGGAACATATATAACATCTTTTAGCCAGTGGAGTTTTTAAAAATCTGCTTTCAAACTGTAATCACCCTTTTTATTCTGCTCAAACTATATGCCAAAAAAAAGAGCTGACTTCCATTGCTTTTGACTCCCACAAATCAGTGTTCCCAAGTCATTCGACATGATTAATCAAATTCCCTGGAACATCCCTCTGCTACCACATAGCCATGAGTAACTTATATTAATAAGTTTAATTGAAGTGTCACTTGCAAGCCGTCAAAAGATCAAATATCAACATACGAAATGTTTTCTCCTTTGAAAACATAATTTCTCTGTATCGATGACTTTCTGAAGGGAGGTGTCTGTCCTCTTAGCTCTCTCTGGCTATGTAAATTAACATTCTGAAACATGAAAAGTCTGTGCTATGGTCACTATCAAACCACAAGCCACTTCCATTCTGTTTGCCTGAAGGTCATGGCAGATCATATATAACCATCACCACGTGGCAGAGCAAGCCCCTGGCAAAGACTTGAAAGAGTTGTTGGAGAAGCCTCAGCCTCCAGCCACTGAAGTGTGAATGGGAGCCATTCACATTCCATGGGATGGGACACCATTCTGTGGCTCTAATCTATAATCCACTCTTCATATTGTCCCCAGCCAAAGTTGGGCTCCCAGGAACACAGCCAAAAAAGGAAAGGATGGGATATTTTTCATCCCTGGTTACCTTGTCTAAAGTCTCCTCCCCTTTCAACTCCAAGGCCACCTTCACCATGAAACCCTCTTTGAATAGTATCTCCCAGGACCTGCTAATCATTCCGTCCTCTTCCTCTAGCCACAGTAACTGGCCCCACGGACAGTTGCGTCACCTGAGCTTAGCCAATCGGAGTTCCACTGGACTTAATGTGCAGATGCTACCTTCTTCTAGAACTTCCTTTCTTCTAGAACAGCTATATTGATTGATGTAAGCCTGTGGCCATTTTGTACTTTTCCCTTCCAAACTCCTTCCATCCCATGCCACCCACATGCCCTCCCAAATCCATCACATAAGGGAAGCTTATTTGCAAGGCACAATGAAAAAGAATTAGGGCTGGGGGAGAGTGAGAGAAAGAACAGGCACTACCTATGCTGCCCTGCCTGAAAACACTCAGCTGAGGAGTGGGTGGGAGCTGGAATCCAGTCTTCTCACCCTGCAAGAGGCTGCCCTCAACTGCAGGAAGGGACCCCCTCCTCCTTTTTTCTTTTTCTCGGACAAAGCCTCTGTCTGTTGGCCAAGTATTCTTCCAATGCATGCAAAGATGTTGCATATGCTAGAGAGAGATGTGTGGTAAGATCAGCTGAGCCCCCAGAGTCACTCCCACCCTTCCCAGTTACAGTCACAACACAATTGCTTTTCACCTATGCTTGCTTCAGTTGGGTTTTTGTCACTTGAAACCAAAGAAATCCTGAGTAATACAGCAGACTAGACACCCAGATTGTTTCTGATGAAATACTATGTTTGTTTTAGTCTCAAACTTCCTAGTAGCCATTGCTTTTGGAATCTTCCTTTCAATCTCCAAGCCCTTCTACCTCCCTGGTCAGGCACAGACTAACTAATATCCTTCCTTTTCTTAGAGACTGAGATCACTTCTATGCAGAGATAAAGTACCGAAGAAATCAAGTTCAATCTAATGATGCTTCTGCTGGTTTCTTCATTAAAATGACTATTTATTATCTCTTTTGTTAACATTTTTGGTAATTTTTCTGCTGTCCACTTCAGCAGCAGAGTATATTGTCCAAACACTGGCTGTTTTTACCTAGTCTTTTTTTTTTTTTTTTTTTTTTTTTTTTGATGGAGTCTCGCTCTGTCGCCCAGGCTAGAGTGCAATGGCGCAATCTTGGCTCACTGAAACCTCTGCCTCCCGGGTTCAAGCGATTCTCATGCCTCAGCCTCCCGACTAGCTGAGATTACAGGCACCCACCACCACACCCAGCTAATTTTTGTGTTTTTAGTAGAGATGGGGTTTCACTATGTTGGCCAGGCTGGTCTTGAGCTTCTGACCTCAGATGATCCACCGATCTCAGCCTCCCAAAGTGCTGGGATTACAGGCATGAGCCACCGCCCCTGGCCTTACCTAGTCTTAAAAAGAATCATTGCCACTTTTCACTGACAAATCCCAGTGTGTCTCTGTTTTGTTTGTAGGGGATGGATCACTCACCCTCTTTGGTATCTGTCCAACTCATGGAGAACTGTGTGGTCACAATATTCAAACACCAGGTGAAGCCTCCGTTTCCTCCTGAAGACTTCCAGGAGGTTGACAAGGTTGGGATGCTTGAGTTGCTGAAAACACAAAAAAACAAGGTACTAAATTTGACTTGTGAAAGACAGCTTTCTCTAATCTTGATCCAATAAAAAGTAAGTTGTTTGTCCTTTAAGAGTTTCATTCTTGGATTGAAGGAGGCTGTCAACAGTATCATCTTACCACTCTTCACAAGCTATATCTCAGTAGCTTGTAAGTGAAAGATGATTATAACCCAGGTGGTTGGTGAGGGCAAAGAGAGGTATAAGAAGGCTAGAAAATAAAAAAGAATGAAGACAGATGGGAGATGGTAATACAAACTCAGCTTTCAAGGTTCAGATCAAATGTCCCTTCCTAGGGTCTCCATTAATCTCCTCAAACTAGTTCAGTGCCTTGTATGTCTAAAAGCCCCCCTGAAGTATGACTCTTTCAGAATTACTAAGTAATTAATAAATAATATGTAATCCTTAGTAATTATTGTTCAGTTAATTGTTTAATGTCCTCTGGTATCAATAGCTACGATAGATAAATTCAATAGAATATACGAACGACGGCATCAGGGTCTACGTTCTTCTGTTTATCAAAATTGTGGTGGTGTACTTCCAGCGCCAGGCCCTGTACATAACAGGCATTCCATCATTATTTACTCTCCAATTAGATGTGCCTGAAAATGTGTGTCTAGGGGGGGAAAAAAAAAAACCCAGGAGTGAATGTGAGCTTTGGCAGAGATAAATCTTGTACCTAGCTTCCTGGCCCTTTCTGGACATAATCCTATCAGAAACACTACAACTAGGCACTGGTCTCTTTTTTTCTGCAGATGAAAATGAGAGACTTACACTAAGAAAGACCAAAAAAATCACAGGAAAACGTATCAATCATGGAGTCCCTTCTGCAGTGCCCATTCACTATCAGATCACAATTACAGTCCATTTTACCTACTGTTGTACAGTTTAACAGTTGGTGGATTGCTCTTTTTCCAAATATTCTTTGATAGTGCCACCAGATAATTTTTCATAAGAATTTTACAGTCAAGTGCTGCTTTATCACATTAAGTTTCCCCCATTAACTCCCCATTCCTTCCTCCCCCTAGTGCCTGCCAAACACCATTCCACTTCCTTTTTATTTATTTATTTATTTATTTAATTTTATTTATTATATATATTTTTTGAGACGGAGTCTCACTCTATTGCCCAGGCTGGAGTGCAGTGGCAAGATCTCAGCTCACTGCAAACTCCGCCTCCCCGGTTCAAGAGATTCTCTTGCCTCAGCTTCCTGAATAGCTGCGACTACAGGTGCACACCACCACGTCCAGCTAATTTTGTACTTTGAGTAGAGACAGGATTTCGCCATGTTGGCCAGGCTGGTCTCGAACTCCTGACCTCAGGTGACCCACCTGCCTCAGCTTCCCAAAGTGCTGGAATTACAGACTTGAGCCATCGCACCCGGCCATGAGACACCACGCCCAGCCTCCACTTTCTGATTTTTGACAAGGTACCTCCTACAGGTGGAATGATAGAGTAGTGTGTGTATGTGTGTGTGTGTGTGTGTGTGTGTGTGATTGGCTTATTTCACTTAACGTTATGTCCTCAAGGCTCACCCAGGTGGTAGCAAGGTTGAGCATGAATAATATCCCATTGTATGAATATACCACATTTTGCTTATCCATCCATCTTTTGATCTATGGCCATGGCTTGCTTCCACCTTTGAGCTATTGTGAATAATGCTGCTGTGAGCATGAATGTACAAATATGTTTTTGAGACTCTACTTTCAATTCTTTGGTTGTAGGAATGAGCCAGGCATATGTTTTGTTTTGTTTTGTTTCACCTACATTCCCCAGGTGATTCAATGTGTATTCAGAGGTATTAATCACAGACAAGCAGGCACTCCATAAGTAATAAAAGGTATAAGGAGGAAAATGGAAGTTCTTGAACTGCATGCTGTAGCACATTTGTGTGGGCAGTGACAGTAAAAGCAGCCCGCAAGGAGATACTAAAGAAGACAGTTCTTTTTTTTCTCATTTTCTCTGTAAAATCCCTCTGTATTTTCAAGATGTGAAATTCCTGCTTCAGATATTACACGTGATGAACAAGTATAAAACATTCAAGACATTTCTAAAGCCCATGTCTTAGTCCATTTGTGCTGCTATAACAAAATACCTGAGACCGGGTAATTTATAAAGAACAGAATGTTTTTTCTTATAGTTCCACATGCTGGGAAATCCAAGTTTCAGGTGCTGGCATCGGTGTCTGCTGAGGGCTGCTCTCTGCTTCCAAAATGGCACCTTGTTGCTGTGTCCTCACATGGCAGAAGGCAGAAGGGCAAGAGAGCACCCCCCTCAACCTTGAGTTCTTTATAGGGGTGCTAATCCCATTCATAAGGGCTCTGCCTCCCAACGGCCACACCTCTTAATACAGTTGCACTGGGGGTGAAGTTTCAACATGAAGTTTGGAGGGGGTACCACCACCATTGAAACAGAGCAGCCCATTAATCACCTTTGGATCTTAGAACTGAGGGCGCTCCAAGTTATAAAATGCCACATTTGTTATCATACCTGAAAAACCCTTAGCCTGAACTAACATTCTGCAAACACAGTAGAATATAACTGATTACTGTCTTAAACCTCTGAACTGGATTGATTAAGACGTCTCAAACAGAGAGCAAACAACCAGGTTAAAAGGGGCTAAATGCTAACTTTATGACAGAATTCGCAGAAAGCAGAGGTTTTCTTTCAGACTGAAAAATAATCATCCTTAGGCTTTACTTTCATTTTCACACTATTTGCTCCCTTGACAGGATGTGATATTGAGGCCAAGACTTTGAATCTTAGAATTCTCTTTCCATTTTCCACATTCCATATTTAGTCCTCATGTCTCCAGCCGGCTCTTCTAACAAAAGTAGAAATGCATCAATTCTACCCAAACAAATCCCTCGATCTTCTCTGGATGAAAAGGCTGGTGCCTCCCACTTGCCACGTCCAATCCTGCAGTGATCACAGCAGGACACTGCTGCCCCAGGACAAGGCCCAAAGGTCCTCTCCATTTGGCCTCTGCTTACCTCTCCAGCCTCATCGCTTATAACTTCCTTCTGGACCCACTGAATTTCTCTCACTTCCTAGAAGGCTCACACTCCCTCTCATTTCAGGACGTGTTCAGTTTCCTGTCTCTAAAGCACTCCCTACCTCCAGATGTTACTTTCTCTGTTCAGCTTCCTCTGCCCCACCCTGACACAGCTGGTATGCACTGCAAGAGCTATGACCTTGGCACCCAAGCAAGGAGTAGCACTGTGCCAGTAAAGGACACTGTCACAGCCATATCCATTTGTCTGAATGGGACCAGTAACTATTATATTGCACCCATCTTGCTATGCTACTATACATCTTTTGAAAACCAAAGTTCTTAGCCAGGCGTGGTGACTCACACCTGTAATCCCAGCACTTCGGGGGCCAAGGCAGGTGGATGCCTGAGCTTAGAAGTTCAAGACCAGCCTGGGCAACGTGGTGAAACTCTGTCTCTACTAAAACTACAAAAAATAGCTGGTTGTGGCGGCACACACCTGTAATCCCAGCTACTCAGGAGACTGAGGCATGAGAATCACTTGAACCCAGGAGGCAGAGGTTGCAGTGAGCCCAGATTGTGCCACTGTACTCCAGCCTGGGCAACAGAGCAAAACTCTGTCTCGAAAAAATAAAATAAAATAAAATAAAAAATAAAAAAGAAATAAATCTGTCTATTTAAAAAAGGAAGGAAAACTGAGTTTCTGATAACTGCATGTATTAAATATTCAAATAACACGTAGGTTCTTTCCAATTTTTTGCTATCATAAATAAGGTTTTGATAAACAATTTATTAGCTGGTTGCCTCACTTGGACCAAGTTAGTTAAGCTCCCTAGGCCTCAGTTTTCCATCTGTAAGAGAAAGTGCAAGGGCTGTAGTGCCCATTTCACACAGGCATATACAACAGGGTCAGGTAAATATTAACCTCTCTATAAACATTAATTATTGATATTGTTACCTTTGGGTTAAATTTATTTTTATTTAGAATTATTTTTCTCTATTCATTTTATTCAACAATTATTTATAGATCTTAAGGTGCATATGGCACTGTGTTAGCCCTAAGGACATAAAGACCAATAAAGCATGTACTGCCCCTACCCGCCTGGGGCTTAGAACCTAGGAAAGGAGACAGATGTTGGAGAAGTCATTACAGATATGATAAATGTTATAAAAATGAGGTAAAGAGTACCTGGTTTGAGGGTGAGGTGTGGTTCAGGGAAAATCTCTTTGAGGAAGTGGCCATTAAGTTAATGACTCATTAACTGAAAATGACCTGAAGTTAACTGGACACCATCTAGAGCCCCAGAAATATAGCTTTATGGCTCTAACTAGATACAGTCAAATTGCTTTCCAAAAGGATTGTGCATATTTACCCCTTGGCCAGGAGAAAGTAGTTTTATCATATTATAGGCAGCTTTAAGGAGCATATAGACAATTTAAGGCTTGTGATACATATTGCCAAATTGCTTCCTTTGAGGGATTACAGTGCCTCTGGCAACACAGGAAGGTGTAACTTGTCTCTCTCATCTTCCTCCATGAGATTATCTTCAAATAATTGCAAACAGCTGATAACTTATCTCTCAACCTGTTTTTAGAATAATTTTAATATAGAAAAATGATCATTAATACTAAATCCTAACTAGGGGTTATACATATTATAAATATTTTTAAATAAATCATTAACTTCCACTGGGTTGCCAGGATTCCAGGCGACCTGAAAATACTCCAGAGCAGCAGATATGAGGTCTGGCATAGCACCCTTATGAAGCCAGTACCCGTCCGTCTGGCTGTGTTCATACATTCAACAAATATCCCTAGAGCACTGTGATGGTTAACATTGAGTGCCAACTTGATTGGATTGAAGGATGCAAAGTACTGTTTCTGGGTGTGTCTGTGAGGGTGTTGCCAAAGGAGATTAACATTTGAGTCAGAGGACTAGGAGAGACAGACCCACCCTCAATCTGGGTGGGCACCATCTAACCAGCTG